ATTCTATGATTCTAATTTATTATTATTTACTCTCTTATGGGTTTGCTTTCGGGTCGCACCTCTAGTACCTGTGAATTAAAAAAACAAAAAACAGAACCCACAAAGTTTTGTCTAAAAAGTTCTATAAAGTTTCTGTTTAAAGCACTGACTGAGGAAAGTTTTAATGACATTCTTAATTTTCTGCTGCTTCAAAGGTTTTTAGTTTGTTGGGGTTTTTTTTGAATTGACGAGTTTTTAATAGAGTTTATATGACAAAGCATATGAAATACTCGGCTGCTTCAAAGGTTTTTAGTTTGTTGGGGGTTTTTTTTGAATTGACAAGAGTTTTTAATAGAGTTTGTATGACAAAGCATATGAAATACTCAATATTTTTGTTAATGTCAAATGTTAATATCGCTGATATGACATGTTTTGTTTTGAGAGCAAAACTTTTTTTCTGCTCCTTAAATTTTCCTCCCATTCCTGCCCATTTTTATCCATGTGCATTAGTGAAGATCAGGCCTGGTTTTTTTGTTATTTTTTTTTTTTTCAAGTAATGGAATAGAAGGAGAAAAAACTTTGTGTTTGTACAGCTCTGAAGTGAATGGCCAGAAGGAGAAAGGAAGATGTTGTGATTGAATGTCTGTGACTGTCATATGATGCAATATTCTGTGGTCTGCAGATGTTTTGACCTTCCTTCCTACTCTTTCATTAGTGGCAGAGCCACATGTAAGGATAATGACCCCTGAAACCAAGCACTTAACATTTTTAACTCGCAGTGTATGCTTGTGGTAATGTGCTCAGGCAAAAATGAGACATCAAAGCATACATTTATTATAAAGTATATTTATTTTCTAACAAATGTTACTATACTGAACGAAAAGGTTCTTTTTATCTTTTACGGTATTTAATTCTTTCTAACCTTCTTTTGTTTCCAGTGCTTACACAGGTAATTAGAGGATTAGACTTGCTTAGGTGAGGTAAGTAGAAAGATTAAGACACGTAGGAAAGAACAGTGAGGTTCGTGAGCATAAATTAGGAGTTGGGTCCCAGCTTCTCTGTATTTCAGAGCTACTTTGTAACAGATTACCTGTTTTGCCTTTATACCAATGTGATCCACATCAAACCTGGACAATGATTTAATAACATATAATTTTATAAAATGTTTGAAAAAAACATAAAATTGTAATGTTGTCTGAGGCTGGAAGGGAAAAAAAGGTCTTAATCTATCCTGCTTGTTTTTGGGTCTTGTTATTTGAGCGAGAATAAATTTTTTTGCCTTGTGAGGATCTGGGTAGAAGTTTAACCATTTCCTAAATAATTCCTTTTGGAATTTATTATGAATGTCTTCATTGAACAGTGTAACATTTCATTTTCAGCTTGTTACTGTCAGTTAAGTGTATTAAGCTAGCTGATAGTTACTGTGTTAGCTGAATGGAAATCTCAGTAACTAGTGGTAATATAAATGAACAACTTAAAACTGGAAATACTAACTCCTCTTTTTAAACTTGTTTTTCAGGGATCAATTCCATCTTCATGTGTAAGCTTTGTAACTTATTTTCACCAAATCAATCTGAACTGTTGTCTCATGTCTCTGAGAAGCATACAGAAGAAGGGACCAGTGTGGATGACATCATTATTCCGCTCCAACCTCTCACAGTACCCACAAACATAAACAAAGATGGAGAAGGTACATTCATAAATTAAGAGGAATGTGATTTTTCAAGTCATTTAATTTTTAATAAAACCTGTAGTGTGATGATTCTGCATTATGTGTGAGCGATTTACATAGCTTGTTTTTGTAATGGTCACTATACAACTGGCAACCTGAATTTAATTCAGTGCACAATAGATTGGAAGGCAGATGTGGATAAACTCAGCATGTGATAGGGGATGACGACATTGGTCCATTCATTTTAAATGTCAAGTATAGCAAAGTCTGCTTCCTGCAGCTTTAATGTGAGCTGTGTAATAGTAGTGGGAAGCAACCAGCACACCATGGATGGGGGTCTTGAGGCTTAGGAATGGTGGTATGCTTTGAGTTGTCTAACTTGTTACTTGTTGTGTTTCAGATAATATTAATAGTTCTATTCCAAAAGGGAAATGGCGTGATTCATTATTCATAACTGTGCTTTCCTATTGGTACTAGTAAATAAAGCAATCTGCTAATCAAAGGTTGAGTTGGTTATACAGAAAAATTTAACTCTGCAGTGGAAGAAGTAACATTCATTCCATTTCTAACTGATTATAATTGCAATTCTTTGTAATATTAGCAATGGATTCAAAATAATTCATAATTATATCTTCTCTTAGACCCTTATTAAGCAATGGTTTTATATTGTTGGCAAACCTCTTACTTAGCACAACTACGAGGATTTTCCAATCATTTTGATTTCTGAATTTTAAAAAATAATTGCTTGTGAATAAAATACCACTCTAATATCATACTTAAAAGATTTTTTTTATCATGAACAAATGCACGTGATATTTCTTCATTTATTTACCAGCAGTAGTTCAGTAGTTATATTAACTTCATCAACATAAGCAGATATTTCCAGTAATGGTCATACAGTATTCAGCTCTAGCTGCTATCTCCTTAGATGGCTGATGAGGAAAAATTGCACCAGATTATTATTTCACACAATGCCTAAAATAAGCAGTGCATCAGAAGAAGATGAATAAATATCAGATCTACATCAAGTTTCAAAATGCCATTCTAATTTTATTTTAATTGTACTGAATGAATTTCTCAGGCATGCAGTATGCATCTTTCTTTCTAAAATCTTTGTTTCCTGTTATCCCTTTGCTAAGCTGTATTTCTGAACACACTGAGACTGGCACTTTGTAACATTCTTATTCCTTTTAGTAAAAAGGCTCTTCTGTAAACTTATATTTGTGTCAAGGACTGTCTGCACTTTCTGTATTGTATGTTGTTAAGCATGCATTGTGCATTTATGAGAATAGTATGTAATTACCATTATGATCTGAAGCAGCTGAAATTAGACATATGCAGATTTTAAGGAAATAACTTTGCAAATCTAATTATGTAAAATAAAATATTCATATTTTAACTTCCATATTCATAAGTTACCTTTTTCATTATTCTTGGTGAATACTTTTTGTCATATGATCATATGTAGCTACCTTTTTCAGTTTATGTACCCCAACTCTTTGCAATCTGCTGTCAGTAAGAATGTCAAGGTAAATTACTTTCACATGGATTTCAACTTGTATTATAGACATACTTTAATATTTCTTCTTTCCCATCACACAGATTGATTGGAGATGAGGGTAGGCTGTTCTGCAGTCCTATTCAATTGTTTCCTGTGGTCTGTTTAAAAAAGGAAAAGGTATTTCACAGTTAAATATAGGAATTGAAAGAGTTGTTCTTTCAAGGCATTCCCCCCCCCCCCCCCAAATGGAATCTGCAGCAGATAAAACTTTAAAAGTTTATAATATACAATTTTTTCTCAGCAGACCCTTCTTTGTAGTAATTCAGTATTGTCACTAAAAGGAGACATGATTGATGAATGACAGTCTTAGAAATTACAGCTTCCTTTTTGTACTTGTTGGCTGATAGATGAACATCTTCTTGTCCTTTGAAAGCACAGTTTATCTTACAAGTACTGGTAAACACTGTAGCTACTCTAGAGTTGGTATATACAAGTGAACGCTGAGTTGTTAATAGAGCTCTGTGTTCTGCCTGAGTAGTAAATTAATGATTTTATAAGTACTGTGAACAAATAAAATGTTAGGCAAGTAATATGTGTTTATTACTCCAATGTTATTTTATTGGCAGTGCTGTCTGATGAATTTTATTTAGTCACACCACTTTGCTATAGTTAGGTCATGATATATTCAGAGTTGATTTGTGCTAACCATTTTGGAGGGATGATGTTAGAATTTTTTTTATCAAGTAGAAACCAAGGGTAGCAGACTTTTCATAATGATCTCCATCTCTTTCAAAGTGCTTCTCAATGCTCTCTGCTTTTTTTTTTGCTTCTACTTAGATTGGTTATGGTTTGAGGGACAGCATGGATGGCCCTAGCTTCAGCTGTTCATAATACCAGAATCATAGAATCATATAGAATGGTTTGGGTTGGAAGGGACCTGAAAGATCATTGAGTTCCAACCCCCCTGCCATGGGCAGGGACACCCTCCACTAGCCCAGGTTGCTCAAAGCCTCATCCAGCCTGGCCTTGAACACCTCCAGGGATGGGGCATCCACAGCGCCTCTGGGCAACCTGTGCCAGTGCCTCTGCACCCTCACAGGGAAAAATTCCTTCCTACTATATAAATCTGTCCTTTTTCAGCTGAAAACCATTACCCTTTGTCCTGTCACTACACTCCATGATAAAGAGTGCCTCAGCATCTCTCCTGTAGGCCCCCTATAAGTACTGGAAGGCTGCTATTAAGTCTCCCCAGAGCCTTCTCCAGGCTGAACAACCCCAACTCTCTCAGCCTGTCCTCGTATGGGAGGTGCTCCAGCCCTCTGATCATCTTTGTGGCCTTCATCTGGATTCACTCTAATAGGTCCGTGTCCTTCCTGTGCTGAGGACTCCAGAGCTGGATGCAATACTCCAGGTGGGGGGGTCTCATGAGAGTGGAGTAGAGGGGGAGAATCACCTCCCTTGACCTGCTGGTCACACTTTTTTTGATGCAGCCCAGGACAGAATTGGCTTTCTTGGCTGCAAGTGCACGCTGCCAGCTGATGTTCAAGTTCTCATCTACCAGCACCCCCAAGTCCTTCTCTTCAGGGCTGCCCTCAATCCATTCTGCTCCCAGCCTGTATTTGTGCTTGGGATTGCCCCGACCCATGTGCAGGACCTTGCGCTTGGCCTTGTTGAACTTCATAAGGTTCGTGTGGGCCCACCTCTCTAGCCTGTTAAGGTCCATCTGGATGGCATCCCTTCCCTCCAGTATGTCCACCACACCACATATAGATTGCCGTTGTTGGATATCAAAATAGCCATGAGTGGTAGCAAAGAGAAGTTTTGAGAGCATGGATATCACCCCTCTCTTTTTGGCTGGTGACTGACAAAACTATTTTCACTGGAGTGCAGTAGCACAGAAATTCAAAACACTGCTGATGGAGGGTTGCAAAAACTTATTTGAAAGGGTTGCTTTTTTTCCTGTTCATAATGGGGCTTTTAGTGTTCTTATTACATTATATTTAAGCAGACAGATACTCATGACTCTTATAAGAAGACAGAATGCATTAGTTTTCACTTGATATCAATTACATGATTAACTAAAAGCTATAGTCTCTGTATGTGGGTTTTTGTTTGTCTGGAATGCTTAAGGGAAGTGTTAAATAGATAGATTTTGAATAAGATGCTGCCACCACATCCTGTTTTCTTGCATCATCTTCCTTTAAGATGCCTTGAGGTCATTTCTTTTTCCGTATGCTCTAAGTCAAACAATTTAGTAAGGTCTTCTGGCACATGTACTTCAGGGTTTGTTGTTTTTAGTTTTGGTGGGTTTTTTTTTAATATTCTCTCCTTTAATGATTTTTCAGACTTTTGCATTGTCGTTCTCAATTTATCAGGGCGAAGGTAGGCTATTGGCTTGATGAATACTTGATAAAAATCTTTAGCCATTTCTTAACCCTTGTTCTCAGTATGCACTGGTTTTTTGGTGAAAGTTCCTTGAATGAGAGCAGGAGAAATGTAAGTTTCTCATAAGAGGCACAATTTATGTGTAGTCTGTTTTATGCTTTATATGCCAGTCTGTTTTAGCTTGAATAATCTCAAAATACTTTCAATCCTTTTGAACTGCAGCAGTTGCTTAATTACTGGGCATTTCTCTCTTTTAACCGAGAAGACGTATTTCATACTTCTCCCATCTGTGCTGTGCAAAAAACCCCAAACCAACAGTAAAAGTATGAAATTCTGAGGAGAATAACTTTATTTCTGTACAAGTCTCAAGATTTGAAAATATTTTAATGTAGGAAAACTTTAAGGGGTCTCTTTGCTGTGACTACCGTAAGCTGAAACATGCACAAGATTTAAATTTATTTGTTTTTTCTGAGCACTAAAAGCAGAGTTCTTGGCAAAATTTTAGCATGTGCCAGTCCTTTGTCTTTCTGTATGATATTATAAAGGTGGTGGCTGGCAGGTGCTTCATACTTGTTTCGTTTCACTTAGCAAATTCTTATGCACATTATACTCCAGGGCTTTTTTTTGCAGTTACGGTGACCATATGAAGTTCTTTTATCTTGTAATTCCCAAAGCTGGAATTCACTACACGTAACTGAATGTTCTTAACCTGGGAGATTGGTCACCCTGGGATGCAGAGGTGATTCAGGCCTTATGTGATCTGAACTAAATGCAGGAGAGTAGTTTCTCTGTTCCTTCAACATAGAAGATATTATATAGAATATAATTTGAGAGTTCAAGTGTCTAACATTAGATAAAATGAATCGTAAAAGTCTGGAAGAAGCCTGGCTGTGTCCTGTTTCTCCGTACATCATCAGGCAAGCTCTTCTAGATGCACCCTAATTTTTCCTTTTCAGGACTACATATCTTTATGCAGAAACACAGAGGAGATCTGATAACTTCACCAGATGTCTGCTCAGACTTTAGAAGATCATTTAAATGGTCCCATGCTTTGCTGTTTGTAGACTGACAGTTTCTTGCAGAAGAGCAAGTTCAAAGTAAATAACTAAAATCTATACAATAACAATTGGATAATTGCTCAAGAAGCACAGTATAAAGAAGTAAAAAACCGAGCAAGCAACCCCCAAGATTAACAAGAAGGAGAGAGACTGACAGAGACTGATTCTTTTCATTGTATGAAACTATTAGATAGACATAGCTAGGATGAAAGCTCCTAAAATAACTTGATCACCATCTGGAAAACTCCCCTCTTCCCTCTGAGTATCTGCTCTTGTTGGCTAAAAGATTTCTTGGGATCTAATTGGTTTGGTCAATGAAATCAACAGTTACATCTGTGAGTGGATGATAGCAAGTTGACTTTTGAATTAACTGCAGCAGTGAGGAGAGAAATTTTAGGCAGGAAATACGAGTATGAGGTTTTTTCTGTTGTTATGTATTTCTGTGTTCACTGCATCTCATTGATTTTATCAATGTTTCCTCTACAGAAATATGGAAATTTAAAGTTATGTTGTATTTATTAAGATTTGTGAATGACTTCTGATTTTAATTATTTGAAATACTCATTAAGGAGATATTTTTTGCATGACTTCCAGAATGTATTTGTTGCCAACTTTTGGTTGAAAGTGCTAAAAATAAAGAACCACGGGGATTGTTAGAGAATAATTGTTCAATTTATTAAAATGAAAACTTTAGGGTTTAAAAGATAATTGTTTTTCTCTGAATACATCTCAATGCTTAGGCAATTTCTTTGAGAGTGACTTAAATTGAAAAGTTTTATTTGTAGAGTGCCAGAACAGAGCAGAGCAAGTTTGTAGAATATGCCTGCTGATACAGTTACACAACAGTCTAAAAGAGAATTTGCAGTGTAATTTCTGTGAAACTGTGGTACTTTGACATCTGCCAATCTCAGTATCACAGATATTATTGCTCTGCAGCAAGCAGAAATGCCAGCAAATACCATTGCTTCAAAGGAAGTCTGTGTGAAGCTAACCTTTTTTTAAGCTTTAGGCATAGAGGCTCTTGAACATAATTTAATATTCTTGTTTTTCAAAGATCAGATGGGTATTAGCTAATTAGCAGTTGAATTTAATTATAGCTTCTTTTTAACTTTAACTTTCTTTTCTAGAGCTTCTTGTAGTGAAGAGGAAGAGGGGCAGACCAAAAGGTTCTACTAAGAAGTTCTGTGTGGATGAAGATGTGGCAGAAAACAACCCTGTTCCAAGTGAAGAAACTCCTCCTGGGACAGAAGAAGGACCAGAACTGTCTGAAGTCTCACCAGGCAGCTTGGAATGTAGGAAATGCAATCGGAAGTTTTCCAACACACGTCAGCTGAGGAAACATATCTGCATTATTGTTTTAAATGAAGGAGAGGAAGAAGGAGACGGAGGTAAGAAAATAGCCAACAAAAATATCTGAAGCGTGTTGTGAAACAGTGTATTTTCATCCTGTGACTTGATTGGTAACAACTGGTAATCCCCAGTGTTAATTTTAAATGGAATGGAATTGTCTGTTTCTTTTGACATAAAAAGCATGTTGAAGCAAAACTGAGAATAAAAGCAGACAGGGTGTTTTAGTTCTTTTCAAAAAAGTCAGTGTTTGTTGCATTAATAATTCTCTTAAACGCCCTGAAATGCTGCTTTTGCATAAACAAACGTTGTGTTTCTCACAAAGAGGATTACAGCTTTCCAGTGAGAAGTGGTATGTGCCACACAGGTAAGTATCACACATAGGTGAGGAAGGATGATCCTGTAGAGGTGTTTCTATCCTGCGACTTGGGAAACCTGAATTTTGTCCTGTGCTTTTGATAGGTTTCAGGACTGCTTTTCTGGATGGCTTGTTTTACTGTGTAAAAAATAATGCTAATTCACCTCTTCTATTTTACAAAACTTTATGGGAATGATTGCCTTTGGAGTATGAGAATTGTTTAAATTTAGCTTTAAGATTGATTTGAATATATTTAACCTGTCAAAGTTTTAGAATAGAAAAGAACAGAATAGTTGAAAGGGGCCTACAAGAATCAACTAGTCCAACTGCCTATTTAACTTTCCTCAAAGGTGAATGTTACATGCATACAAAGTAATAGGTTAGTCCAAATTATCTAACTTAATGTGAGTTTTGTGTTTGCGTTAAAATCAGGTTTTTGCTTTTTCTGTAGTTGCTTAGCGTGATATCTTGATTGTAGGATAGTTGTCCTACTTGTAGACAAAATTTGCCATTGATTTTTCTCCAGTTTTCTATTCCTCTTTTGTGTCCAGTCTGTCATTATGATACAGAACTAGTATGAGTATTTTTGTTTCAGTGAGATATAGAGTTTAACTTCTGTAGCAAGCACTAATTAAAATGGGCTTAGAATATGTTGACAGAGCACAGAAACACATGCTTTGATAAAGTACCTGTTTATTTTTTTTGCTATCATCAGTGGCAGGATTTTTCAACTATGCATAGTGACCTTTACTCCAGCTGCCTCACTTCTGACATCACAGGTGTCCATACCCTTTGCTGTTTGTATGTGCTAGGCACGATATTAACACTTGCATTATTTCAGCAATGTTGCCTTTTCTAATATCCTTTTAAAATAAAATCTCAGGCCAGAGTATAAACTCATATTATCTGTTCTTGACGTGTCAGCTCATTAGAGCTCCTAAATCTGATCTTGATCTGTATTGTTACAGAACACAGATTTTTCAAAATAAATTGCTCATCCTTCTTTGAAAGGAAAATAGCCTCAAATTTTGGCAGATGAAACATTTTATATTTAATCTCTGGCAAAAGCAAAACAGTCAAGAAAAGTAAGTAATTCTTGAGCAGCAAATAACAAGGGCTTCCAGTTGTTGGTGACTAGTGCAGCTAGAATGTCTCCAGCCTAAAGCTTCCTACCTTGACTGCAAACTGTGAAGGTATTGGGCGCTGTTTTTATCCTGAAGGGGTAATTCTTCCTTGGAATACATCTGGGAAATTCAGTCTTGATTACAGTCTCATCACAGGAAAACTTTTCACTTCTGGCTTCACCATAAGAGCGGCTTTGGGGCAACTTTTCAGTTTCTGAATACATAGATGAAAGTAGCATATGTATTATTATTATCCTTTAAGAGATTGTGATTACACTGAGTAGCTCAGAACTTTCTGAGGAGTGAGCAAGAACAATGTGGTCTATGCGTAGGTTTTTGTCATACTTGCATTGCTTTACTAGTTCAGAAAACGGGTTATTAGAGCTCTCGAATTGTTGTCACTCTCAATTTTCACTCTGAAGAAAATTTAGAGGATGATGGGTGAACCTTCTAAATGTGAACAAAAAAGTCCAAAATTGAAAAGACAATCAAATAATAAAATCATAAATGTATTTTTATCTGTTAATGTAATTTCATGAGGATCTTTTCATAATTTAAAAATTAAAAAAAAATGCACCAAGATTCTTAGTTGTCAAAGTTGTTGACAGAGTCTTTGAACTAGAGGTTTCACTCATATAATTGGCAACTGAAAGCTGTTAACTCATTAATTTATCTAAGTGGGTTACAAAGCTGTCAGGTTTTCTAGTTTTCAGTATATTCTGTGTTAATGACTTTAAGAGCATTATTACATTGTCAGTGCAATAGTGGTACTTCTGCTTGTTTCTTAAACCCGATGCTGCTTGTTTCATTGGGTGCCATCTTACTCTATAACTTTGGGAAATGGGGAATAATAATTCTGTATAACCTCTTGCATAAAGCTCATAATTTAGAAATCTTTAATATTTGCGTTTAGATTATCCTTATCCTTATCCTGTCTGAGTCTGAAGTAGCAGCCTAACTAGACTGGATGGAAATGGCTTATGCATCTTGTCAGTCTTACTCTTCTCAGCAACTCAGCTGCTGTAACTGTTCTGAGATGGAGGACCAGAACTTCAAGTGGTGTTCAAGATGCAAGAGCATCCCTGGTTCACACCACGGCATCTTTTTTATTTATTTATTTATTTTTTTTTTTTTTCTGTTCTACTCTTTTCTTAATGATTCCTCACATTATGTTTGCTTTTCTGGACTACTGCTGAGTATTGAGCTTACGTTTTCAGGGAACTATTTAGAAAAACAGACAGATCTTTCCTGTGATGTATCAATTTATCAGTTGAGTTTTTTCTTTATGTGCTTTACTTGTATTTGTTGTCCCTGTAGGTGGGAGTCAGTTCCAAACTAGCACCTGTCTGCGTGTATGTGTGTATGCACAAGGTTTTGTAAGCTTTAATTATACGCAGCAAAAATCAAATCAGTATGTTAGCGGAGCCTGTTGGAGTGACATAGGGTTAGCTGAATTGCTTGTAGGCTCCATTGACTGTGTTAACTAGAGCTCTGTCTGTGATGGCAATTTATAAATTTATCTTGTGGGTGCCTTAATCTGGTTTAATTCCAGAGTATTCTGTTACCAGTTACTGATTATTGAGAGATCCTTCTGCAGCTTCATTGTCAGCAAATGGCGTTGAATCTAAATGTGTCATACACAGGTAATGGTGTAGCTCAGGACATCATAGTACTACAAGTATTACACTGGGCACTATCTTCTGTGTGTGTTTTTTTTGTGTGCATATAATGTTCAACAAATATTTCAGTTACTTGAGCAGATGTGGTTGATACTAACATTTTCTAGAGTAAACTGTCCTTGAGACAAAAACTTCTCGCAATCACTCTTATTTTGGTGTATATGAGGAGTACTGAAGCTTTTAATTCAATGAGATTTCTCTATTGCTGAAGTTCTTAGAGTTAGGTGGAGAATTTTATTGAGGGTCTTTGAACCTTCTGGAGTTACAAGATCTTCTTTCTCATTTCAGACACAGCATTTCAGAGTAGATGGCTAGAAATTACAAGAAGCTTTGACTGAAAGTTCTTCTCCCTTAGTATTTGACCTCTTACGTTAGTACATATGGGGTGGGTTTTTCCCCCTTTTTATCCATGTCTTTCTAACTTGAAATTACTTTTATCTGTTTTTCTAATGCTTCTGGGATTTTTCTGTAGTATTGTTTTTACTTCTCTCATGTTTTTAATTTATTGCAAAGTTTAGCACTGTATGGACATCTGATTAATAATGAGGTATGTTTTCACTTTGCACTGGGTCTGGCTGTGATGAAGTTGATTGTCTTCCTAGCAGCTCATGTGATGCGACGTTTTAGATTTGTGACCAAAATAATGCTGATAACACACTAATGTTTTAGCTATTGCTAAAATATGCTAAACATATAAGTACTGAAAATTTATATATTGATATTCTGTGTGTTATTCTTTATTGAGAGAAACATAATCTATGTATTGAACTGAAGTTGAAATATTAGGAAAGGTTTCCAAGTAACAATTTTTTTTCCTATCTTTTATAGATCAACAAAGGAAGTGTTAAAAACCTTATAATTTAAAATTAGAATAAATAAATAACTGTAAAAACTGTGATTAGTGATCCACGTTGACCTCTCAGAGGTCTGTGTCTCATTGATAGTTCCCCCTCTTTTTCAGGTGTCACCAAGCCTTACTAGTTACTGACATCCCGTGTGCATCTAGTTTAATCCTTTGATGCATAGCGATTGCCTTCACCTTGTGGGCCCATCCACTAAAACAGCAAGAAAGAAGTGTGTTAATTTTTTGCACAGAATTACAAAATGTCCATTGTGCTTACAAATCCCCCATACACATGCTTAATAAGTATTTTTTTTTAATAGAGGGCTTATTTGCCTTGGAAAGTTGCTGTGACTTAAGCAGAGCTGCGTGTACAACTATTTCTATTTTTTTTTTTTTTGTTAAACCAAATTGAAGGTTTTGGCTAATGGATTGGATCTGGCTGGCTGGAGGTACTGCCATCCATCCTTTTGGTCATAACACAAAACTAGAAGAGTTGAGAATCTTCCTGAACAGCCAAGTGTCTTCACTGTGTCTGCTCCCAGCCAGAAAGTGGAGCTGCTTCAGCCCCTGAATCCAAACGGGGATTTTGGCTGCTTCTGGATTGGATCAGTTCCCCTGCAGCTCCCTCTAAATTTGCTTGTTTTGAGAGATAGACGTCAGGTAACTATTTTAACCAGCATCCCTCTCCCACACCACGCTGCAGCATGCCTGAATCTCCAGCAGATACAAGAGAGGACATCTGATGGCTGGGGAATGGGATTTGGGTGGAGGAAGGATTACAGCAGTGGACAGCCCAAATTCTCTTGTCTGGAGTGAACTATTCATTCCTAGTGAAGTAGAAGCCTGCATGGTTCTTAAAGATGGCACTTTTGGCCTTAGTTTAAAATGTTTTTGCCATCAACTGGATTCTAATTTAAATGAATTATTTCTGCGAGTAGTACATCAGTTTCTTCAAGAGAAGAAATTGCATGTGTTCATTTTGAATGGCCAGTTTACTTTTTGTTTTCTAAGCTACTCTCTTGCTACGATGAAATAACAGCATCTTTTAGGGGATAAAAAATAATAATTTGAATGACAAATAGTTTAAAAACATGCCAATTAGGGATGTGTAGCTGTGCCTGCAAAATATCGTACATCCAATTACAAATGCAGGGAGCAGTAACATCAATTAATGACTCAAATAGAATCATGGGACAGACGAACAATCTAGTTCGATGGACTCTGAAAGCAGTAATTCATTCAGAGTTGACAGTAGCTTTACTCATCAACACAGGCACGGCCGTGTCTTAAATGTGTTAGAAGGCACAGACACAGCGTTGTATTTCTTGCACAAGCAGAAGCAGACATTTAAAATGCCTGTCACTGGATAGGGGAGGTCAGTTTGTTTGTCTGCTGAATCCAAGTGCCAGCTGACAAAGTGCTGACTGCTTAGCAAGGGAGATGCAAAGTAATGCAGTTTGTCTAAATAAATCTGCTTAGGAGCAAGCAGAGACCATTACCGCTTGGAGAAACTTTGCTTAGCTGTTCTATGTTGCAGGTACTCCATTTTCTCCTGAATCATCTTAAATCACTTATGAGTGTTCCTTTATAACACAACAAGAATTGTTGCATTAGACAGGGGAATTGTCCTAGCTGTGAGAGACAGAATGCTTGTTTTGACTCTCTAATCCGCAATGGTAACCCTTAAGTGAAGACAACTAAATTACTGATGAGGTGGTCCCATATTATAGAAAGGCAGTTTGAGTCTTGTGGTCAAAGTCAAAGCTCTTGTTTTTCATTAAAACATGCTTTTGTCTTCCTCTTTATCCTAAACCACACCTTCTAGTTCAGGGTGCTTTGTGTAGAGAGATTTCAGGAAGAAAGCAGCTGTCAATGACAGTTAAGGGGTTTTTTTGTTTGCTGATTTGATGGAGAGTGTTCGTTTGGGTTTGCTTTTTAAGTCTCTTTCAGGTTACACACAGACCATGAAATAGTTCGGTTTGTAGCAAAAAGTACTGGCAACATGGGCAGCCCCAGCTCCTTTTTGCTAAGGTGACTTCATAGAAGGATGGCTTGCTAACTGTGTTTGAATTCCGTTTGCTGTGTGGTTGTGCTCATTCTAGGCATTGTAAAAATGAATTTCAGATTTACAGATTAGCATCGAGTCATTAACAGTTGTCAGTATACACATTTCTGCCGCAGTATGCCTGAGAAATCTAATTTATAAATACCTTGTTTCTTTCTGGTTTTGTATCTAGTAAAGAGCTTGCAGTTTTTCCAGGTGGTAGTTACGCGGTCAGTCCTAACCATGATACTTTAGTTTGTGCGTGTGTCCTTCATTGTTTTAAGGAACAGCCAGCAGTCCCTAACCCTTTGTTCCATTAAGGTAAGACCATGGGAGACAGACTTGTTTGATTCTCAGCTGAATATTAACAAAATATTACTGAAATTAAAACACATGTAGTAAATCTTTCCACAGCTATTGCTATTTTCCTGCCGCAAACAACTCTGGACACACTACCCCTTTGCTGTTACTGGTTCTTGTTTATGTATTGTTTGCCTATCTCAGTAGAGCAGCTACAGCGTGTTATGTATATACATTGGATGACTTATTCTGGAGACTGTGTCAGCTGTTTTATATTCAGAAGTAAAAAATCCAGAGTTAACTGGGTTCATTTATAATTTTCTTTCTTCAGTCAATTTTTGCTTTCCTTATTCATTACCTCTGTAACGTTTGCATAATTTGCCAAAAATGTTTTCTCTAGCCTGCATTTTCTACCACTTCATATAATATAAAGAAATTTTGTTGGTATAAACTTTCAGCTCTGTGTTTTCATTCTTTATGCTGCTGATTCTTTATATATAAACATTTTTTAATTTTTTTTTTTTTAGAATTTCAGTAAGGAATTCCTCATTTGCCTTAAGGAAGAAAGAGCTTTGAGGAACAACTTAGCTGATTACTGATTATTCATTCTTATTTCAGATGAGTGTTTTGAATATTCTTTGAAACCATTGTGTTGCTTTCTAGTTAATATGTCCAAAAGTAATCCAATTTAAGAGGCTGAAGAAATTATGAGCTGCAACAGATAGGGATGATTCAGAAGTGCAGGTCTTCAAAATGAGGAGTTACATGACAGGAGTTAGGTTGAACAAAAGAACTGTTTTGATCCTTAATACTTCTTGAATCTACAGTGAAAATAAAAAGTTTGTTTCTGGCTATTGATTCAGAGTGACAGTGGGGGGAAAAGCCTAATTCAGAGACACTATTGGAGGACTTTCCATTAAATAAGATAGATAGTGAATCTAGTACTAGGAGAAGTAATCCTAAAGTCATCGGAACAGTTACAGAATGGTGACTCCTACAGAAAGGAGAGAAATAATTTGTTCATGAATGGTGAAATTGTAAGAAATTTTACATTTGCAGAATTTCCATAAAAATCTACAATAATGTCAAGATAATTGAGAAACGCAAATGTTTCTGAGATTCCATTTTTTAATTTTGATTATTTTAAAAAAATTTATCTGTTTTCTCTGTATAAGTATCACACATGTTTTATTAAATAGAGAGAAAAAAGTTCTCCTTTAGGGACTCATGCAGCATGCCTTGTTTTGATAACATGTATTTCTTTTTACAGTAGCATTAATTTTCTCCTAATTCTTCCTTATGGCGTTAGTGACTTTGTTACCTGCATTTCTTTTGTACATAGTTACATTCTTTTTGATGTTTGCTCTTTAGGTAATGATTCTGACGTTGACCTTGACAGGAAGGAAGATGAGCGAGAAAAAACTCCAAAGAGGCCCAGAGTTCAGAAAACAGAGAAAACCCCCTCAACTAAGGAGACTGAACAGGTTTCAGGAGCTAAAAATCCTATTATAAGCGTGGTTTTGACAGCCCATGAAGCTATTCCAGGTAATGAAAATCACTGATTATTTAATTAAATTTGGTTTTGTCCATGCTGACATGATATAAAATGGTCATTGGTCTAAGACTGAACCATTTGGGATATTTATTATCTGAAAAATGTTCAGTAAAGTTTGGTTACCTTGATACAAAATCTCTGCATCTGGCAGCTGCATCATTTTAGAACTACCATCACATTTCTTCATAGGTATGACAAATGCTGGACCTGGGTATAGTTATTTACATTAGCATCAGTTACGTTTAGTCTGTGAATAGGTTTAAAGAAGAAACTGAAAAAATCAGTGACCTAGGAAAAGGAAAGTATTTTTTCCCTGCAATATCGTTATTTTAGCTCTTGATTTATGTGTATATTTATGATAAATTTAAAATTTATTATGAAAACAACAGCTTAGTATGATAACTTAATATTTATGCATACAAATAGTTTGACAGAAAAAATGTATACATACTTGAAAATTAAGTAAAATTTCTATGTAACGTATAAAGGATTCTTCATCCATACGTTTCTATAGTACCTTTTCATCAAAGGATTTTGGAATAATTCCAAACTATTTTGAAACCAGACTTGCATTTGCCTGTTTATATAAACGAGTCACTCACCTGAGTGACAGAATCCCTTTTTAATAGTTTTGTGCATTATTTTCAGCTTTGAAGCTTTATTGTTCTCCTTTCCATTATTGCTAACTTTTCTGAATATTTGTTTTGTTTATATCTCTCAGAACAACTAGAACGTATTTATTTATTTATTGTTGTAGGTTGGAAGCTAGCTGAGTTTTCTGTGTTGTTCTTTACTATCTTTTGATATTGAGATTTGTAATATGCTTGGACTTTTCTAAAATGCTTTTCCAGTTGCGATGGTAGAGGAAGCTGGATGAGCTCACCTACGGATATCCTGTGTGCTTAGAAGGGAAGTAAAAAACACCTTCAAATTCACTGTTTGAGAAATATCACACAGGGTTTTGGATTTACACTGAATTGTTAAAAATTTGGCCTTGCAATATTGTAAATACGGGGGAAGGCAGAAGAGGACCGGTGGGCACTAGAAGTGTGGAAACCTGGCTCCAGGGTGTCTAATTTCACTAACCAAAGGCCCCTTTCTCTTGTGTGTTGTAACCCTGGGCTCTTTCCTAGCTCTTGCTAAACACTCATTTTCCCACTGTTTCTCCCACCTCTTTTGCCTTGTTCCCTCTACATGTAGCTTCTCTCCCATCCTTGTGCCTACTCCCCTCACTGCCGCACATGAGGCTTTACTCACTCTACTCCTTTGTCTGGGCAAAGGGGAACATGCGATGGCTGGTTAAGAGACTCATGTAGGTGTTAGTAAATTGGTTCATATAGGTGTTAGTTTATGGATTTATACACACATCCTCCCTTCCTCAGGGGTTTTGGGAACAGCTGTGATTGGGGTCTTCTCTCTCCAGGTGCTAAATTTTATGAAACCTGCAAGAATTTTTATCTTTGAGATCTTTACATTTCTGGCAAGGAGTAGAGCAGTTTTCAAGAGGGGAAGGAATGACATGGTAGACAGTATAATCAAAGACCCGTTTTCTTAGGAAACTAACCTAAAGAGGCAAAGAAAATAACAGCAAATGTGGATAGTGCAGAAAATGTAGTAAGCATGTGACGTGGGAGAGACAATGAAAATATAGAGGTGATTGTTGCCTTAATCACTACCTAGTAAAATTTTTCTTTGGATGCCAAAAAGTCTGGGTTTTCTTTACACATGCGCTTTTTGAGTGACTCAAAATATTAAAACAACTTCAACTTTGGAGCTATTTGTGCATACTACATGTTACATTCAAAAGGCTTTCATGAACCGAAAGACTTTACAGTCAAATGTGAACCTGAAGCTACTTTTGAAGGTCCTCTCATTTATTTGGTTGACAATTAGTAATCTTATTACATTCAAGTTCCTAGCTGGAATATATGTAATAAAAAGTCATTGGTGTTTAGACAGCGACGAATTATCATCCTACTTTTCAGAATCAGGAAATTCTAGAAGATACTACGTAAGTGGTTAACTCTCTGAAGAGTCAAAGGAAAAATAATGTAATTTAATGCAATTATGTTTAAAATTATTTTTAGCTGCTTTTCCTTCAATTTTTTTCGTTAATTCCCATGGTCTAACTATATTTTAGTGGCACTAGCAATTCTTAGGCTGTTCCCCTTTCTCAGTATTACTTTCATGCCTGGAGTTTTTATAAAGATCTTTCATAGTCTTTTATTCAATTTTTCTGGAGATTTATCATGTGCTGAAGAGGTCAGTTATTGCTATAGACTGCTGTTGAAGGATATAAATAGATAAAACATTTCTCCCCTCTCTCCCTGCTTTCTGTGTGCTAGATCATCCGTAAAGTTAGGTTGAAATAAAGCTTAGAAGTGCTTAAGCACTGTCAAACTTAGTCATCTTCCTGCAAGCATTAGCATTCAGTAGCCATATGTTATCTAGCTTTAAAGATCCATGGAAATGTCCCTTTTCATATCCAATGCAGTAAAATCCTGTTGAAGATGTCAGATAAGCATTCTATCAATTAAACAAATAGAGAAGGCTGTAAGAATTAGTTGCGATTTATCCACAGTATAGGGGAAATATTCAGACTGTGTATCTCTCTTTTTAAATGAAAAATGCTTTTAGGAGTATTACGTTAACAGTTTGCTGTAATTTTGTTGTATACTATTTAGGTTTGGGATACTGCTTTACATGATGTATTCAGTAATTATGACTAAGTTTATCCCTTCAAAATTCCTTCAGACAAACAGATCAGTTAGCTTTTAACTTCCCAGAAAGGACAGCCAGGCAATGTTGATTCTTCCCCATGTTCCTCTTCTATAATATTTACTTGGGAGGCATATGAAAGGTAATAGATTTGCAGCTTTAGAAATTTGAAAGCTTGTATTAACCCACAGAATAAATACAGTTTGGATAAAAGCGGTAGAGTTTTTTCTGTGCAGACAATGAAGTACCTTGACAGGCTCAAGAGGTGGACCCAAGCAAACCGCATGAAGTTCAACAAGGCCAAGTGCAGGGTCCTGAACGTGGTTCGGGACAATCTCAAACATGGATACAGGCTGGGCGATGGGTGGATTGAGAGCAGCCCTGCAGAGAAGAACTTGGGGGTGCTGGTGGGTGAAAATCTGAATATGAGCTGGCAACGTGTGCTTGCAGCCCAGAAAGCCAACCGTGTCCTGGGCTGCATCCAAAGAAGCATAACCAGCAAGCCAAGGGAGGTGATTCTCCCCCTCTACTCCACTCTCATGAGACCCCACCTGGAGTACTGCGTCCAGCTCTGCAGCCCCCAACATAAAAAAAGCCATGGACCTGTTGGAGCGAGTCCAGAGAAGGGCCACAAAGATGGTCAGGGGGCTGGAGCACCTCCCATATGAGGACAGGCTGAGAGAGTTGCAGTTGTTCAGCCTGGAGAAGAGAAGGCTCCCAGGGGACATTCTAGCAGCCTTCCAGTACTTAAAGGGAGCTACAGGAGAGATGGGGAGGGACTCTTGATCATGGAGTGTAGGGATAGGATGAAGGGTAATGGCTTTAAGCTGAGAGAGGGTAGATTAGATAGATACTATGAAGAAATTTTTCACTGTGAGGGTGGTGGAGCACTGGAACAGGTTGCCCAGAGAAGCTGTGGATGCCCCATCCCTGGAGGTGTTCAAGGCCAGGCTGGATGAGGCTTTGAGCAACCTGGGCTAGTGGGAGGTGTCCCTGCCCATGGCAGGGGGGTTGGATGATCTTTTATGTTCCTTCCAACCCAACTGTTCTGTGATTCTGCAACTGGAGGGAGTTGAAGACCTTGAAGAGAGGGAGTGCTCTGTTCATGAACAAGGGTGCCTTGTATCAGATTAAACAGAGTACAGTTTCTCGTTAAGCATCACAATTAAGAACAAGAGTGAATAATTACAATTAGATGCACATCTAAAAATATACTTTTGTTCATAGTCTATTTTTAAGAACCAGTGAGTAAACTCTGCCAAATATTCAGTCTTGTGGTTTTTAATATATTTTATTTCCCATGTTTAATTATGCAGTATTACCAAGGCTTCTAAAACCAATTTATTATTCATGGTCAATTAGTTTGATTCAGGAGAGATTCTACTTTGAACATTTCAACTGTTGTTTTATGTGAGTCCTGTAATATTTTAAAGACTCAGCTTGTTACTAGGATAGGTGTTTTATGTTCCTGTAAAGATGATCAATGGTAGAATTCTTGAGGTTTTTTTGGTAGAGCTCAATATATACAAAACCAGCATAAAGTATTTAAATTCTTAATGGTAATTATTTTTTGATTTCTAAAGGAGTTCAATTTTTTTCTCCCACGAATTCTTACTACAACACTGTGCAGTTTTTTCTCTCCTCAGTTTCCACTGAGGAACCACTCTATGTAAAAGGCCAACTGTATGCTTCTGCTACTATACCCTGTGCTGTGATTTATGAACACTTGGTTCTTTTTCTCATCAAGATTTTGGGAAGTGTGGAAGAAGTGGAAGAATGTTATTTTGCTTACTATTTTGGGACTGACTGATGGCAGTCTTTTACATTAAAGGAGTAACAGTCTTTTCTGTTTAAGATGACTTATTTTTTGTATCTCACAGAATGATGGTTGTGGATTTATGGCACATCAGAACAGATTTAATATCAGGCTGTTGCTAAGGGAGCCTTGCTGCTTACCTCTTATTTCCCAGTTCACTTCCCCTTTCTTGCACCAGCACTAGTGCTTGTGTCAGCCTGTGGTAAACTGATTTAAAAAATGGGCAAATAAATACACGTACATGTGCACATACACATGTGCATACTCATTTCTCTGTCAGAGAATTTTTTTTCTGCCAGTTTTGTCTATTGAGCTGTGTCACGTTGGAGCCGCACAAGTTTGGAAAGCTGGAAAGTGGTGATAAAATGAGTCTTTCAGGGGAAAGGAGGAGAATTGAGACTACACCTTTTCGAAGCAGCGTGAGTGGTTTAAGTCATTAAGCCCAGAATGCTGTCA